TCAGTCGTAGCCTCGTGTGTCTGCTCTTAAAACTGTATATGGCGCCTGCTTCACACACTTTCTCCTCGACATCATTCCTTTTTCTGACCACTCTAGGGCTGGAGAAATACTTCCTGACATTCTTGTGATTAATCTGTTCTTTAACGTCCAGCTGGGTTCTCCAATTCCCTTGTCTCGCCTGTAAACAGCCTATCCCTGTCTACTCTATCAATTCCCCTAAGCATTTTGTATGTTATTGTTATTTCTTCCATGGTTCCTCTGTCGTCCAGTATCACTAGATTCACTTCCATTAGCTTCTCCTTCTGCCCCTTAGTTCAGGAGCATCCTTGTTGGATACTTCTGCACTGTCTCCAGATTTTAACTTTTGTTTTAGGTGTTGGTTGTATACTGGTGCTGCATACTCGAAGATGTCCCTGACGTATGTTATATGAGGAGCCCGGAAAAACACTTTGTAGAGCACTGGCTGCAGAGGCTGTTTGGCTCTTGTGAGCCTCTGACGAAATATCAGGAGCTATGCTCACCCCTGAGTGTTTCTCTTTGAGTAAAGTCTGCAGCCTCTGTTCCCGTAGTGTAATACCTCGTTTCCGGTCTTCTTGTTCCTTCCCCAGTCTTCATAACCTTGCATTTCCTGGATTATTATTATTATTATTATTATAATCAAGGGGGAAGCGCTAAACCCGGAGGATTATACAGCGCCTGGGGGGGGGGATGTGGAAGGCATTCAGGCTTAATTCGGGGGAACTGGAGCACAGATTCAATTCCCTAAATCAAGAGCCCCTCACCAACATCAAGGAACCTTCCTTGAGGGGTGCATTTCCTGGAGCAGAATTCAAGTTACGACTTATCTAAGCAATACTGCAGTTAGTTCAGATTTATTTGGAGCATTGTGTATTTTCCTCATTGGTTTTATATCGTCAGCAAACAGAGATATATCTGAATCAGTCCCATCTGGAATATCATTTACATAAGCCAAAAATAGCAGTTAGTCCTACTAATGATCCTTACGGAACCCCGCTAGTTATTCTTTTCCATTCTGACGTCTCTTCCTGACATTCACTCTTTCTTCGTTGTCCTAAGCTACTCTTTAATCCACCGGACTACCTTCCCTGTTATTCCGGCCTTCACCCAAAGTTTTTGGCTGGGCCTCTTGTAGGGTACACTGTGAATGTCTGTCTGTAAATTATTGGTTATAATCATAAGCATAATTTTTGAAGAGAATGACCGGTAAGTCAGCCGAAGGTCTCGATTAGATGACCAAAAGCTCCAGCGGCGGGTCATCATGTGACTAAGACCCGCGTCAGGAAACGCTTGTCCTGTTTCCTGACAAACCTTACCTAACCTCTCTTTCAGGCTGTGAATATCCAGTCAACCCATCCCTCTCTCTCCCTTTCTCTCTCTTTCTTCTCTCTCTCTCTCTCTCTCTCTCTCCTGTCTCACATCTGTTACTTTGTCATAGGACTCCAAGATTTGCCATATTTTAAACCCAAGCTTGTTATTGTTTATGAAAACAGTTCTCTCCAAGTGTTCTAACTCTTTTCCTCTGATAATTTTCTCCATTCCATTGATAATCATTCATGTTAGAGAAACTGGTCGGTAGTTCAAAGCCTCTTGTTTATCTCCTTCCAGATCTCTGGCAGCTGTTCTGTACCCATTGCCTTATATATAGATCATAGTGGTATGGACAATGCTTCGGCTACTTCTTGCAAAATTGATAATGACGCTTTGTCAGGTTTCATTTTTTTTATGAATCCAGGTTCAAGAAAAGTTTCTTTATCTCTCCTAATGTTGTGTGGATGGTATCCAGTATTTGTCGGTTCCCCCTGCCTCTGGCATGTCCGTTTCCACTAAAAGGATCTCTTCCAGTTCTCTGATCAGCATTTTACAGACTTCCTTATCATTGTTCGTGAGCTCTCCTCCTTCCTTCATTACTCGAATTACCTGCATGTTTTCTGACGTCTTTCATCTGATGTAGCTGTGAAACAATCTTGCTTCGTACTTAGCCTTAGTCTCTTCCCCTTACCCGAGCATTCTCGTTTCTGACTAACATGTTCAATTTTCTGTTCTCGTCTACAATTCACTTTCTGCACTTTTTCCACTTCTTACAAGTTTTTATTTTTGCCTCCCTGTATCTCTTCTTGAACCAAGAACTCTCGTTGACGTTGTTGGTTCTACATTTTCTTCTTGCTATGACGGTCTCTGCGTCTTCCTGTATTTTCTCCCTAGGTTCTCCATCATTTCATTTGCTGACTCTCCATTCAAGTTAGTATCTAAAATCACAGCATTCAGGAATTCTTCAAATCCTCAGGGTTAACCCTCCAAAAATGTATGTACGTGTTGTGTGTGTGTGTGTTGTGTGTGTGTGTGTGTGTGTGTGTGTGTGTGTGTGTGGTGGGGGTATGTGTGTGGGTGTGTGTGTGGGTGTTTCTACAGCCACAGGAATGTGTTTTAATTACCGTACCTTCATTTTTAACCCCATGTATGTGTGTTTTTTTCAAAGCTTAGTATTCACATGAGGCATCACTCGCTCCAGTATCTGCCTTTGAGTGTTGCTCAAATATTTCTCTCTGACTGACAAGTGAGCTGGGTTGTGAGACCTCGTCCCACCAGGCTAGTGTTTGACGCATGTGGCACACCTCACGCCCACACACCTCACACACACACACACACACACACACACACACACACACACACACTGTCCGTAGACTAAACACAGGCCATCATAAATCAGCCTAATGGTACTGTAATATACACACTATTGTCTGCTACTAAAATACACATATTTTTATTTAACTACTATCATATAAATACACTATTGTCTACCTACCATAATTTAAAAATGATCGTCTACTTACTATAATACAAAGATATATCGAAATTTACATCTGGGCTTCCATCTTGCAAACAGAAGAATTGTTTGTCTGTAGCTAGAGCTACAGACAGCTCGTCCCTGACACCCTGTCTTTATGATTTATTCTGTTTTAGCTTGAGATCTGGACCCCCGCTTAACGATCACCTCCAAATGCGACCAATTATGTAAGTGTATTTATGTAAGTGCGCTTGTACGTGTATGTTTGGGGGTCTGAAATGGACTAATCTACTTCACAATATTCCTTATGGGAAAAAATTCGGTCAGTACTGGCACCTGAACATACTACTGGAATGAAAAAAGTTCGTTAACCGGGGGTCCACTGTATTTCTGTATTCTCTAACTCAAGCCTCCAGCAACACGATCAAGACTATGATTTAGTTAAACTTCCTTTAAATATAGATGATGTCCAATAAAATCTTGTTTTTTTTTTTTCAAAGAGAAGCTTAGAAAATATTGCTAGAAAAGAGCTAGGAAATTACTTTGAACAAAGTAGAAGAGTAGAAGAAATAGGTTATATAATTTATTTCTCCGGAGAGAGGAGTAAAGTCAGTAGCCTGCTAGACGTAGTCACTGCTAGACGTAGTCACTGCTAGACGTAATCACTGCTAGACGTAGTCACCGCTAGACGTAGTCACTGTTAGACGTAGTCACTGCTAGATGTAGTCACTGCTAGACGTAGTCACTGCTAGACGTAGTCACTGCTAGACGTAGTCACTGCTAGACTATGGCTAGAATATTGAATAAGTATTTGTGACAGTACAGTTTGCATGAAGATGCCAGTGATATATGTAACGAGTTGTGACGACATAGACTAGTGCCCAACACACGCGAAGTGGATACGTATGATACTGCCACACAATAGTGTGGACAGAGACAGTGCCACACACATTGTGTGGACAAAGACAGTGCCACACACCAGAGTGGATACGTAGATACTGCCACACAATAGTGTGGACAGAGACAGTGCCACACACATTGTGTGGACAAAGACAGTGCCACACTAAAAACAAATATATTTATTCTCAATAATTCTACCAATTAGAAATTCATCCAAAGAAATCATACAGAAAACGATACATCACTTCATAGTTAATAACAAAATATCGAAAACTCTTAGATTTTATCCACATTTTTGCACCGACTAGACGAGTAATTAGACAGCAATATTTCCCAACAAGTGACCAATGTTTGCAGTGACAATATTTGATTTCTTCTTGAGCATATATCTATACATTGCACTGCGCAGACTGAATAGATTACAATATGCAAACTTTCTTTAATGCTATTTTTTAGACTTGACCATTTCCAGTGGCGTCTAGCCAAGTCCCTTTGTGACCTTCGAAATCCCGTTCGTTTGCGCGCTGGCGCTCACGGGATGATCTGCTGGTAAACAATAAACTATCAGCTTAGGCGACAAGCAATTAAAAACAGCATACGACTAGCAGCCAGGTTCCTATTTACTGCAAAGTGGACAGGGCGCAACAGCTCTGGGAGTTCCCGCCATCCCCTGGGACTCTGCTTGCAGCTGGGGAGTGATCGACAGTTTGACGGATTCAAAAGAACTCGTCACTCAAAGTAATTAGCAATTAAAAATATTTTTAGACCCAACTTTCAGTGGGGCAACGTTTCGTTCTGTGTAGTTGTAGAGCTTTATCAAGCTAAAACTTGTCAAGGCTCTGCACAGACCCAAACATTACTTGATTAAGCTCTACACAGAGAGAGAAACAGGATTTGATAGAGAGAAACCTAACTTGATAGAGCTCTACACAGCGAAACATTGACCCAGTCAAGGCTTGTCTTAACCACTGTCTTCCGTACGTCACTGGCATGCAACGTCTTGACGTTTCCTATACAAGACGTTTCACGTTACCAACGACGCCGTTAGTTGACGCTACGACTGTCTCTTAGCTGTTGTGACATGTGTTGTGGTCAACCACAAGTCGCCCCAGAATCAGTCTCGTTCGCAGTCGATCAGTCAAACCTTCACTGAACAACAGGCAGTAACGGTATGAACCACGACTACATATAATGCATTGCAGTGTTCTGCAAGCCTTGCAGAAGCGATTTTCTACTGGAGGTTATACTGAATATGTTCACTTACATGTTTTGTATCTCTCTCCTCTTCGCCCAGACCTGTCCGTGGGCGTGGTGTGGGCGTGGGACGCTGACGACGAGAAGGAAGGCACCAACGCCCACCTGACTTATACCATAGAGAAGAACGTGATGGATGAACGTTCAGGTCAAGCTATCTTCACTATCAACCCAGAGACTGGACTCGTCCGTACTGCCATCTGTTGTCTGGACCGCGAGAGTACTCCAGAGTACTTCATCCAAGTGGTGGCTGTGGACGGTGGTGGCCTCAAGGGTGAGTCTTGTGGCCTCTAGGGTGAGTCTTGTGGCCTCAAGGGTGAGTCTTGTGGCCTCAAGGGTGAGTCTTGTGGCCTCTAGGGTGGGTCTTGTGGCCTCTAGGGTGAGTCTTGTGGCCTCTAGGGTGAGTCTTGTGGCCTCTAGGGTGAGTCTTGTGGCCTCTAGGGTGAGTCTTGTGGCCTCTAGGGTGAGTCTTGTGGCCTCTAGGGTGAGTCTTGTGGCCTCTAGGGTGGGTCTTGTGGCCTCTAGGGTGAGTCTTGTGGCCTCAAGGGTGAGTCTTGTGGCCTCTAGGGTGAGTCTTTGGCCTCAAGGGTGAGTCTTGTGGCCTCAAGGGTGAGTCTTGTGGCCTCTAGGGTGAGTCTTGTGGCCTCTAGGGTGAGTCTTGTGGCCTCTAGGGTGAGTCTTGTGGCCTCTAGGGTGGGTCTTGTGGCCTCAAGGGTGAGTCTTGTGGCCTCTAGGGTGAGTCTTGTGGCCTCAAGGGTGAGTCTTGTGGCCTCTAGGGTGAGTCTTGTGGCCTCTAGGGTGAGTCTTGTGGCCTCAAGGGTGAGTCTTGTGGCCTCTAGGGTGAGTCTTGTGGCCTCTAGGGTGAGTCTTTGGCCTCAAGGGTGAGTCTTGTGGCCTCAAGGGTGAGTCTTGTGGCCTCAAGGGTGAGTCTTGTGGCTCTAGGGTGAGTCTTGTGGCCTCTAGGGTGGGTCTTGTGGCCTCAAGGGTGAGTCTTGTGGCCTCTAGGGTGAGTCTTGTGGCCTCTAGGGTGGGTCTTGTGGCCTCTAGGGTGAGTGTTGCAGTTTCATGGTAAAAATAATAACTACTTCCACTACTACTACTACTACCACTACTACTACTACTAATAATAATAATAATAATAATGAGTCCAGGAGACCCCTTTTTTTTCTTCCTCCAAAGATTCCGATGAGTAACTCCAGAACTGATCTGATCGGTTTCAAACTTCCTGCTCATATATATATATATATATATATATATATATATAATATATATTATATATATATATATATATTATGTATATATTATATATATATAGTTCAGGTGCTACAAGATTGTGTAGGTGTCTGTCAGTTTTTGTTTATACGTGACAACAGCGCAGCGGTTGCCGTGCGTTACCTGGAGAATGTCTCGTCTGATCGGGTTCAAATTGTTTCAAACTGTATATTTTGCATTTGTTTTGACTTGGGTGGGGAGAGTTTGTACCGTGTACCACCTGGTGGTGTTGGTACCATGCATCAGCTGGTTGTGTTTTTACCGTGTACCACCTGGTGGTGTTGGTACCGTGTACCACCTGCTGGTGGTGTTGGTACCGTGTACCAGTTGGTAGTGGCAGCACCATGTGCCACCTGGTGCTGTCTGCACCGTGCATGCCAGCAGACACATTGTCATACCTCGCCGAACCTCGTCATACCCCGTAGTACCTCGTCGTCCGTCTTACCGTCCGTCCCACCGTCCGTCTCACCGTCAGTCCCACCGTCAGTTCCAGCGTCCGTCCCACCGTCCGTCCCATCGTCCGTCCCACCGTCAGTCCCACCGTCAGTTCCAGCGTCCGTCCCACCGTCCGTTCCACCGTCCGTCCCAACAGCCAACATTTCATCTGTCACAGTCAGCAGCTTTAAGCCTGGGTCCTGACTGCCTCTTCTCCGCCATGTTACCAACCATCTTATTACAGTAGTCCAGCGAATCATTGGAGGAATTTACTGAGAATAGTTACATTTTCGGTATTAGTGTTAGAAGTGTTAGTGGAGTAGTGTAGTTCTAGTGTTAGAGGCATTAGTGTTAGTGTTACAGGTGTTAGAGGAGTTAGTGCTGGTGTTATAGGTGTTAGTTGAGTTAGTGCTGGTATTAGAGGCATTAATGATAGTGTTAGAAGTATTAGTAGAGTTAATGCTAGCATTAGTGTTAATGCTGATAGTATTAGTGGTGTTACGGATATTAAAATTAGTGGTTTTTTTTTTCATTGCTAGTTTTGTTAAGTGGAATTGACTGAAATTTAAATGCATGTCGACTACACGAGGGTCACTAAGACTGCATGTCGACTACACGAGGGTCACTAAGACTGCATGTCGACTACACGAGGGTTACTAAGACTGCATGTCGACTACACGAGGGTCACTAAGACTGCATGTCGACTACACGAGGGTCACTAAGACTGCATGTCGACCACACGAGGTTCACTAAGACTGCATGTCGACTACACGAGGGTCACTAAGACTGCATGTCGACTACACGAGGGTCACTAAGACTGCATGTCGACACACGAGGTTCACTAAGACTGCATGTCGACTACACGAGGGTCACTGCATGTCGACTACACGAGGGTCACTAAGACTGCATGTCGACTACACGAGGGTCACTAAGACTGCATGTCGACTACACGAGGGTCACTAAGACTGCATGTCGACTACACGAGGGTCACTAAGACTGCATGTCGACCACACGAGGTTCACTAAGACTGCATGTCGACTACACGGGGGTCACTGCATGTCGACTACACGAGGGTCACTAAGACTGCATGTCGACTACACGAGGGTCACTAAGACTGCATGTCGACTACACGAGGGTCACTAAGACTGCATGTCGACTACACAAGAGTCACTAAGACTGCATGTCGACTACACGAGGGTCACTAAGACTGCATGTCGACTACACGAGGGTCACTAAGACTGCATGTCGACTACACGAGGTTCACTAACACTGCATGTCGACTACACGAGGGTCACTAAGACTGCATGTCGACTACACGAGGGTTACTAAGACTGCATGTCGACTACGCGAGGGTCACTAAGACTGCATGTCGACTACACGAGGGTCACTAAGACTGCATGTCGACTACACGAGGGTCACTAAGACTGCATGTCGACTACATGAGGGTCACTAAGACTGCATGTCGACTACACGAGGGTCACTAAGACTGCATGTCGACTACATGAGAGTCACTAAGACTGCATGTCGACTACACGAGGGTCACTAAGACTGCATGTCGACTACATGAGGGTCACTAAGACTGCATGTCGACTACACGAGGGTCACTAAGACTGCATGTCGACTACATGAGGGTCACTAAGACTGCATGTCGACTACACGAGGGTCACTAAGACTGCATGTCGACTACACCAGGGTCACTAAGACTGCATGTCGACTACACGAGGGTCACTAAGACTGCATGTCGACTACACGAGGGTCACTAAGACTGCATGTCGACTACACGAGGGTCACTAAGACTGCATGTCGACTACACGAGGGTCACTAAGACTGCATGTCGACTACACAGGGTCACTAAGACTGCATGTCGACTACACGAGGGTCACTAAGACTGCATGTCGACTACACGAGGGTTACTAAGACTGCATGTCGACTACACGAGGGTCACTAAGACTGCATGTCGACTACACGAGGGTCACTAAGACTGCATGTCGACTACACGAGGGTCACTAAGACTGCATGTCGACTACACGAGGGTTACTAAGACTGTATGTCGACTACACGAGGGTCACTAAGACTGCATGTCGACTACACGAGGGTCACTAAGACTGCATGTCGACTACACGAGGGTCACTGCATGTCGACTACACGAGGGTCACTAAGACTGCATGTCGACTACACGAGGGTCACTAAGACTGCATGTCGACTACACGAGGGTCACTAAGACTGCATGTCGAGTTCACGAGGGTCACTAAGACTGCATGTCGACCAGACGAGGGTCACTAAGACTGCATGTCGACTACACGATGGTCAAGATTGCATGTCGACTTCACGAGGGTCACTAAGACTGCATGTCGACTACACGAGGGTCACTAAGACTGCATGTCGACTACACGAGGGTCACTGCATGTCGACTACACGAGGGTCACTAAGACTGCATGTCGACCACACGAGGTCACTAAGACTGCATGTCGACTACACGAGGGTCACTAAGACTGCATGTCGACTACACAAGAGTCACTAAGACTGCATGTCGACTACACGAGGGTCACTAAGGCTGCATGTCGACCACACGAGGGTCACTAAGACTGCATATCGACTACACAAGAGTCACTAAGACTGCATGTCGACTACACAAGAGTCACTAAGACTGCATGTCGACCACACGAGGGTCACTAAGACTGCATGTCGACCACACGAGGGTCACTAAGACTGCATGTCGACTACACGAGGTTCACTAAGACTGCATGTCGACCACACGAGGGTCACTAAGACTGCATGTCGACCACACGAGGGTCACTAAGACTGCATGTCGACCACACGAGGGTCACTAAGACTGCATGTCGACCACACGAGGGTCACTAAGACTGCATTTCATCTGTACACAACCAGTCAAGATCACTTTAAGCACTGTAATTGCAACCCACACGAGAGACAAACCTCAGTGTATAACACAGAAAACACAGTCTTCATGTATTACACAGGAAAACACTAGTCTTCAGTGTATATACACAGGAAACACAGTCTTTAGTGTTGTAACACAGGAAAACACAGTCTTCAGTGTATACACAGAAACAGGCCCTCAGTGTATATACACAGGAAAACACAGTCTTCAGTGTATATACACAGGAAAACACAGTCTTCAGTGTATATACACAGGAAAACACAGTCTTCAGTGTATATACACAGGAAAACACAGTCTTCAGTGTATTGTACACAGGGAAAACACAGTCTTCATGTAAGTATTACACAGGAAAACACAGTCTTCAGTGTATGTACACAGGAAAACACAGTCTTCAGTGTATATACACAGGAAAACACAGTCTTCAGTGTATGTACACAGGAAAACACAGTCTTCATGTATTAACACAGGGATACAGTCTTCAGGGTTATACCGGAAATAGTTTAGTTTTAATACGGATAACAGTCTTTAGTGTATATACACAGAAAACACAGTCTTCAGTGATATACACACTGGGTTATCACTGACTCTAATAGTGTTATTAATGTAGCTGATGTTAGTAACGCTGTTATTTTTATTAGTGCAGTATTAATAATACAAAAAAAGAA